GGGCATGCAACTGGGTGATGGCAAGGCCCAGGCTAGGCCCAACAGCTGCGTGGTGTTATCCAGCCAATCTCTCTGTCTGCCTACTTTAAAGTCGAATGTAGGGGCCCAGTTCTCAGAGCTCAGTGAGGTAAAAGCTGGGCTAATACCAACGTGGGTCATTTGCCCCAGATAAAAATGAGGGATGCTGAAGCTGGAAGCATCCCTGTCCTGCTTCAAGTCCCCTGGCTCTGAGGGCTTATAAGCTTGTCTGGGAGACTTTTATGACTTCAGGGGCATTGCTGCTGCTCAGAGCATGAGCAAACTCAGCTCACTCCAGTCTGCACAAAGCCTGTGTGGACACACTCACTTGAGAGCTAGATTCACAGAGCAGCTGCTGCCACTGCTCAAAACAACAGCGATTGTCCTCAACCAGGCGAAAAAATTCAACCAATGAACTAACTAAAGAAACAAGACACAAAAAGCCCAGGGATTTGAGAAAACATCTTCTGGGAAGTGGTGAGGAAACCAAATGAACACAACATGTCTATCACCGAGCAAAAGTTACTCTTTTGTGGAGGTTTATAACAGGAAAAATTTAGCCTGAATGAAGCATGAATGGAAATGCATGCGCAAAGCGCCGGAAAAAAAACAGCATCACCAGGGTTAATGAAGCAGCCTCTGCCAGTACCCAAGGACCCACTGACAGCGATGATATGCTAATGAAGATGTTGTTTATGCCAAGACCAGAAGGCCTGTGCTGGGATAAACCCACAGCTCTGACTATTCGTCAACAGAAGATCCCACTGGAAGAAAGCGACAACATTACAGTGCCCTGCCTGTGCCATTCCTCCTCTCGGTGGCACCTCCGAGATACCCCAAATGTGAAAATGCAAACAAAGCACAGCAGATTTTAGTAAACTTTATGGAGGATGAAGTAAGCAAAAATGTGGCTTTTCCAGCCTACGTGATCCATTCTATGAGGCCAAAGGGCTGTACGGTAACTGCTGGTCTCTAATTATCCCCAAAACAATTTGTCATCACCAATGTGGAGGAACTGCTGGCCTTTGTCTCTTTTTCTCTACATAACACACGACCACCCCTTGGCCAGAACACTTGAGCTCAAGCATCTCACTGAGCATGGCTGGAACACGGTGTGTGTCAGTGGGTGAAATCGGTTGTGTTTAGTGTAAAAACCTTTACATTTCACTGAAGTCTCACTTGGAGCTCTGCTGCATTGATTTCCTGCATCTGAAAGCACAAAGGCAAACAAATTAAGGGAGTTCCTAATTCTGACACCAAATGGAAACACAATCTATTGACCAGGCAACCCCCTCACTTGTAGTGCTATGTTCTCCTAAGTAATTACACTTACCAGCTAATTTTTAGTGTTAGCACTTATGTTTGTCTATATCTGGAGGTATTTGAACAGGTAGAAAATGTTTAAAAGTGGAAAGGGTTTAAAAATCAGCATCTTTCCAAGTTCATCTCCTTTATCTGCCAGGTCTTTTCTTCCACTTCCTTCTGCTGCTTTACTGGAAGGAGAGGGCCGTATCCCCCATTCCTGATTCTCCTCCCTAATTTCCACTATAGACCATTATCTGGGAAATGTCAGAGCAACAAGGTAAATGATCCTTTTCTTCTAAGCATTTCCAATTTCTGCCTTCATCTAGTGACAACAGCAAAAAATGGATCTGCAAGAAACCAGATTTCCATCAAGATGACTGAAGCACCAGGCTGTGACCTGTCAAATCCCTCTGAAACCTTCTTTTAATTGCTCTTCAAAATAAGTGCTTCCTACAGAGTCCCTTCTCATGTTCAGTGCTCTTTTTTGCCCTGAGTTTGCCTAATGCTTAATGAAATCTCCAATATCCCATGACAGTTATATACACAAAGCTAACCCCATTTCTTGGATAATGGGTCATTTTTCTCCATTTAACAGGTACAGAGTAATACTAAATTCAATGTCTCTTCCTTATTTTTCAGGAATTTCAGATGCTTCGTAGGGGTCATTAGAGAACAGCTACCACCTCATTGAGCATCTTACAGTCTGATAATGCCAGGTGTGAAAAGGCTTTTACTGCAAAGTGGGTAAGGTAAAGCAGAGACATGGCACAGGTGGAGGGGATGAAGGCTTTAGCAGGGGTCAGGCTGGTTCAGAAGTGGGAGATGTCCCCTCCTAGGACCCACTGCACTCTGCCCAGCTGCTCACAAGAGTGATCCAGAGCTCCCTGAGGTCTTCGCTGCTCTTCCCCTTTCCACTCATGCCTTAGGGTCACCCAAAACTAAGCACTTTTTTCCTCTTTTTGGGAGAATTGAGCTGTCTCTCAATTCCTCCCCTTCCGCTTGAGGGGCTTTGTACCATGCACAGTCTGTGGTCTTTTTTTGAGAAACACTCATCTGTATACCTAAGCTAAGTTTTTTCCTTGCTGCCCAGTGGAGTATGATAGCGAGGATCTGAGTTGACATCCAGGCAGAAAATTCCCTATGTGAATTCTTATTTGTAGGCCCACTTTGGGGGATGGTTAAGCTTTATATCTATGCTGCAACTTCTTGTAAATATAAATTGTAGGAGCAGGAAATGAAAAACTGCTTATTTTACCCCGCCTTTTTGTGACCGCACGTAACTGGAGCCATCAATGCTCCCCTATACTGGTAGAAGGGACAAATAATGCGTGATATTTTGTTTGCAACCAACATAAGCTTACAGAAATGGAAGCACCCTGGTTAACAAAAAGGCTGTCTAGATGCAAACGTATGGCTCACACTACTCACCAAGAAGAATTGTTTTATGGCATTGCTTGCCAGTTGCTTTAGAGAGACAGATTCTGGCTTTAAAAATTGCTGTCTCTGCTCACCATAGTGGAGTATTTCTATCACAACAATGATAGGGCTTCCAGAAAGAATGGCAACTTTCACATTTCATCTTAAATATTTATGTATCTACGATAGCACATCATTTCAGTGGAAAGTGTTGATACGTATTATTAAACAAGGGTACAGCCAGGGCTCAGCTTGGCCAAGACATTAAAGCGAACACCTCCACAAGCTGAAGGCCGTTCCGCCTACTCTTATCTGAACCTGTATAAATTATGGAATAGTTCATCTGTATGATAGTGTTGCTGAGTTCTCATAATCCATATTAACCCTGCAGATCATGAGCCATCTGTGGTAACTACAGTACTTCCAGCTAAACAAAGATCTTTTTCCCTCCCCTGTAATCCATGCTGTATGGAAGGAAAAAAGCCAACAATTTGTACTTCAGTAGTTTTCAGAAGATGAGAACTCCTCTGAGCCACAAGAGACAGAACTGACGCTCACATTTCTGGAATAATAAGATGGATATACTTCTTACAACTGTTTTACACCATGTGTTAGCAAACCCACACAAAAGGAAGTTGCTTATCCAAAACATCAGAGACTTGACATAGGCTTGCTAATATAATGAGAGGCCTGTCTTCTATGTGTGAGGGCTGGTTTTGTTTGTTTGCTTGCTTGTTTTAGATGCCAAGTAACATTTGGATGCTACGTGGAGAGGTCTGGAAAGAGCGTATCTGCAGCTGAGTTGATAGCACCACTATTACAGAAATCACAGTTCATCTACAGAAAATCTACACAGCAGAAGCCTGTGACTTAGAGCAGCCAGAACATGTACATGCTCTGCCTCATTTCTCTTCATGTGCTACAAAGAGCAACAGTCTATCACACGTAATTTTGCAACCCAAATGAGATTTTTGGACACTCAGTGGACACTTGCACTGGCTTTTATCAATATTTTTAATTAAAGGCTTCTTTACTCTTAGTGAAGAAAAAAATACCCCAAACACCTGGGCAGGATTGCCATGAGGACTTCCATTGCCCGCTAAGCTACAATGCATGTTTCCCCTTCCTCCAATACTCCAGTTACTTGAGCACATAGCTATGTGCACATTTTATCTTACTTAAAATAAACCCAACCCTTTCAGTCATCTTTTGTTTTGTATCACCTTGACACATTTCAGTACCAACCAGTGGCCTGTGCATCAGAGGTCTCAAACCACTGATTTACACAATTCATCTGTTGTACAGTTCGAGCATTAAGACTATTAGAATGCTGTTTGGAAAGAATCTCTGCAACCTTCTTGCACTTTTCTGAAGATAACAAATACTTGGCTGCCCCAGCTATCATCAGCATCGCAGGAAACTTTCACTTAAACCATCTGGATTTCATCTGTGATCAATTGAACTGGCATCTGGGTCTTGTTTTAACACAGAAAAATCATTACTCTTTGTATAATTACATTCTCTGTAGAGAAGATAAGTGTGTTTCCAGGTAAGAAAAATTAAGAGAGAGACATTATATTATCTCAGAGTGTTTTCTCCATTAAAGAGAATTTTATCTACTTTTAAAAGCATCAGAAATTCACTAAACCTATAAAATAAGCATAGGAGGGGCTAGTATTTTCCTATAGATCAAAAACATAAACTAATAAACAAAAAGCAAAAGCAGAAAACACAGCAGAGGCAAAACATATACGGCATTCCTGCCTATTACAAAAACAAAACCAAAGTCATTTCTGCAAGCCTCAAAATCCTGCTGAGTGCCAAGCACCAGAGACACCAGGCATGAACCTTCAAACCCAGCAGGATCAGCTGCTCTGCTGTCCTGTGAGTCAGGTGGGAGGAAATAAATGACTATTTCCCCTGCTTCTGGAAAAGGAAAAAAAATAAAATAAAAATCTGTGCGATCACATTTGCCAACATGTGAACACAAACCATATTAAACTTGCAGTGGTCATGCAGATTGATGATGGCCCCTATGGCATATAGCTGTTCTGACAGCCATTTACTCTCCAGAGTTGTTTCAAAACTGATGAAAAGAAGTGAATTGGAACAATGATGCTACTTCTCTGCAAAGTTTTAAGACTCCTCCATAAAGGGTTCCTGAAGCATGATGCCCTCAAAACCTGTGGCTCTCAGAAGAAATCCTTCTAGTCTTTTAAAGTCATTTCTATAGAAGAGGGGGAATAAAAGAAAGACAGACAGTTTGAAAATATCCTTTAATTGAAATTGTGCCAACCCACAGCTTGTGCCCAAGAACAAAACTCTGGTTTGGAGATACTCATAAGGCTTAGGTGCCTAAATGTGGGGTCACCTGTGACTGTAGGACCTGCCTTCCTCAGTCCACCTTGCTTTTCCTCACCTGCAGGGCATGGCACTTCTCTCCTTTCTTTCCGTGCTGGTGTCACAGTGAGAGCAGGCATTCAATATTCTTAGGATGGACCTGTAAAAATTATCAGGAATTAGGAAAATGCTCTAGTTTCCCCTCAGCCTTGCCCATTAACTCCTCCCAGCTGGTCGCTGGCTGCCCTGGCAGTTCCTGTGCAGCTCCAAGGTCACAGTTTTCCACCTGACATTTCCCCAGCGCTTCCTGGCAATAAGCATGCTGAGCAACTTCTAATTTACTATCATCTGAGAAACAATAGTTTTCTACTCTCATTCCTGCTAGTCACCCCGCTTTTTCCCTTTTTGCATTCATCACTGCTTCTGCTGAGAACAAAAGCAAAATATTCATTTCACTTTGGTGACAAACTGGCTGTATTTATTTCCATTCTATCCTCACTAAATGACAGCCCCACTTCTTCATTTTCCTGATGCTTCTTCATTTTCCCAGTGGCTGAAAGTTTTTTGTATTGTTTCTGCTGTGTTTTTTTTTTTTTTTTGCTATATTTTATTACTATTTCTATTAATATCATTTTCAAAATCATTGCCATCTCGGCTCAATTCTTGGCAATTTTTACTTTCTTGTTGCACTCTGTTAACCTCAGGACATCAGTCTTGCCAGAGGCTGGATGTTTACTCTTAATACTTGTCCTGCAGCTCTTATTCCCCTCGTATGACCTTAACCTTTTCTTTAATATTTTTATCTGTGCACTTGGTTCCAAACTCCACATTGTCATCAAATCAAAGATGCAAGGCCTACTCTGCAATTCAGCTTTTATGCATGCCGAAACAGCCAGCTTCGCAAAGGTTGACCCTTTAAAATCAAAAGCATTGTTTACATGTCCCTTAACATTATCTACTCCTTCAATTTGAAGAAATCACTTGAGCCAAAGTTGATTTCTAAAACAAGTACTTTATAATATTCTTATTTTTTTTAACCAATTCAAAGCTTCAATAGATCAGCACATCTAATTTGTTCAGAAGCCATGTGGAAAAGAAGAGGTGGGTGTTCATTTCCCAGAAAACCTGAATCCTACTCTAGCAACCAGCATGTGCTTTAATATGGAAGGCTAGCCACAGTTCTCAGAAGGATTGATCCAGACAGTGTTAGGAAAGCCATTAGCTGCATCCAGGGCTAAAGTCGGGGATAACAGTCCCTTGAGTCTTCTCTAGTGAAGCTTCAAAAGTTATTTGGATGCTTTCCTGTTTCCCTAGGGTGACTTGGCTTGTCATTGGCATGCATAGCACCATTTCTTAGTTTCTGTACTTTCTGACCGGTTGCAGAATGCAAATTTTTTTCATCTGAAAACAATTAATTTTCCTCTTCACTTTACAACTATTTTTCATCAAGAGTTCATTATGGCTTTGTATGTTACGTTTAGGTTCCTTTAGTCTCCCTTGCATACAAGCTTTGCTGACTTCTTACCATGTTAAAACAACTACGTCAGTTCCATAACTGCTCTGGAAATGTAAAATAAAATCACTGGTCTGCAGGCAGTCCCAGAGTTATGGGAGGAAAGCCTCCTTTTCAGAGTTACTTCTGTTTCTGGGCATCCCACAGTTTTCACCCTGGGCACACCTGGAGTCACAGGGTTCTTCTTCAGAGGCAGACCAGAACTGACATTCAAGAATTAGAGCCAAACTTAATCTAAACGATAGCCTGCAGCGTGGTTTGGGAATACAGCTGTTTCTGACTTCTCTTTACTCCCTTAATCATGCAGCAGTGTCACGTGGCTAATATTAGCCTCGTTAGAAGGCATGAGAACCAGCCAAAGCCTGAAAAATTATGTTTGGACTTGGATATGCCACAGGAATGGCTTCTGGTACGGACCTTCTGGAGGCTCAAACCTGCCTTTCCACATGCTGAATAGTGTCTTATTCCTCACTGAGCCATGCTGAGATGAGGATGGGGACGAGTGAGGCACTTCTTAAAATAAAAGAAATGAGAACAGGGAAGGGATAGGGGATGGATGCCACTCCCCAAAACATACACACACACACAGAGCACTGTTTGACCACTCAGGGTGGGGTTGATGCCTCAGTACTGGAGATAGCCCCCTATCGCTACTGTGCATGCAGTAAAATGGTAATCCACATACCTTGATTACATCCCTCTCCCTGCAGGCAAGAATTCCTTCCTTCTGAATGGAAACACAAGATTTGCTGCAATAAACAAACCTCGAGCTAGTATGCTCGTTGAATACAAACCAAAAAAAAAAAAAAAAATCACATTTTTTTCCCGCTGGACTTTTTTTCCAGAAAAAAAAATAAAACAACAACAACAAAACACGACATATTTGGTTGTTTCTGTTGTAAAACCAGCTGCAGATTATAAACCTGCCAGCCACCCAGGGCGAACCCCTAGTGACTCATCAGTACCACAGGGTGGTACCTGCCTCACCTGCACAGCTGCCCAGGTGGTGGGGTTTGGCTCTCTGATGGGATAGGATCACAGCACCACAGACTTGTTTGGGTTGGAAGGGGCCTTAAAGACTGTCTGTTTCCACCCCCCTGCCATGGGCAGGGACATCTCCCACCAGCCCAGGCTGCCCAAAGCCCCATCCAGCCTGGCCTTGAGCACCTCCAGGGATGGGGCACCCACAGCTTCTCTGGGCAGCCTGTGCCAGCGCCTCACCGCCCTTTGAGTAAATAATTTCTTTCTGACATCTAATATATATCTTCCCTCTTTCAGTTTAAAAACCTTTCCCAGAAAAAGAGAAGAAAAAAAAAAAAAAAGAGCATAAAGTTAATCAATACAGAAGATAACATCTAATGACCACACATGCCATCAGATGCCGTACTTCACGTATGATCACAGGTTAGTATTCTTGCCTAATAAGAGTCATGAGCCACTGAACTTCAACAGAAGCAATCAAAATGATCTCTAATTCTGGGGACAATAATCAATAAATGTTTACTTAGAAATACTCTTGCAATTTATAGCTCCTTCCTTCAAAAACGTGTTCTCTCTCTACTGTGCAGCAACTGCAGTGAAAACACTTGGGCAGAAGCAGCAGCAGCAGCTGGAAGCCACAGCATCGTTGACCCTGTGCATCAGTGAATTCATGGCAGCCACAGTGCTCTGCACAGCTCGACAATCCCAGCTAAAGCACCACTGAGCTACTAGAAGGGTAGAAAGCAGCCTCATTTTCTTTGTGATCGTGTTAGGAGCGAGGGGGCAAGGTCCATTTGGCAGGGATGTATTTGGGATGCCCCCACGTTTGGAGCAAAGGGCCAACTAATGAGTTCACACCTGAAGGGCTGGCTGCAGGACTCTGCGTCCCACTGATTCAATAGCCATGAGTATATTGTCCCTACGTTTTTGTCTTTAAACTCATTGTTAGTCTATGAAACACCCTTGGGACAACTCAGTTTCTTTAAGGAAGAGACTTCATCAGGAGCTTTGAGAAATCAATGTACACCATGTCTACTGGATTAACTTTATCTGCATGCACACTGATTCTGTTCTCAGAAAAAATAAAAAAAATAAAAAAGTAAAAAAATAAAAAAAAACAACTAACAACAGACTTATGAGGCATAGTTTCCAAGCTGTGCCAGCTCATCCCCATTATTTTAAATTTGTCCATATGTCTACTAATTCTCTTTTTTATAATGCCTCTCAAAAATACCCCTCAAATCAAAATCAGATTTATGAGTATGCAGTTCCTTGGGTCCTCACAGGGGCCTGCCTTGAAGAGGGCATCACGTGTCCCACTCCTTCTAACCTTGAGCTTAATTTAAGAAAAGCCAATTGAAGCAATAAGTTCTTCACCACAGTTAATAGTTTGGCAGTTTCGTATCAGAGATGCTCTGGGGCTCCTGTGCGAGTGCCATCTGGTCCTGTTGATCTGCTGTTGTCCATTTTATTGGTTTGTTTTAAAAAGGCTTTTCATGTCAGTTCAGTATGAGACCTTACCTCAGACTTGCCCAAGTGAAGTTTTCAGGATGGCGATGCCACTGGACTATGGAATTGGGGCAAACACCAACACAAGGATCCATTTAGCTTTCCTGCCACCACTCCGAGTCCCTTTTACTCTGGTCATTTATCAGCTATAGTGAGTTTCTGCCAGAGACCTTCTGTTTCTGACATGATGGAAAATTTTCTTATTATTAGCTCCATGCCTTTAGTGTGCTGCTACCAAGAACTTTCTTATTGCCTTCTTGTGGTTTTACATTTCCTTTTACAGAACATGTATTCTCTTCTAATTTTCTCATTCGCCTCTATTCTGAAAGATCTTTTTTAATTCTGCTTTAATGTACTTTGCTCTTTATCTGTGACAATTTAGAGTCTTTTTTTTTTCAACACATAATGTATTCCTACTCTGAATTTTCAATATATTTTTTAATGTTTCCACGTGCCTTTTAGCTAAAGAAAACTAATTTTATTAAAAAAAAAAAAAAAAGCATACTTAAGGTTTATTTCTAAAAATTTTCTCATTTGTACGTTTTTGTCCTTTTTGAAGCTCTACAAAGAGATCTTTGGGTAATTTATTTCCTGTGGACTTGCTGAATTTGGGTGCCTTGTGGTCTCTATGCTAAAACACGCTGGTGATATTTGCGTCCGCGGCGAACCTCTGCTCACAGCTCAGGGTGACACCAGGAGCTGCTTTTTCTCAGCCGTGCTCTCTGCCTCTCTGCTGTAACAAGCAGTTATTTGTGGCATCTACAAATATAATCTCTGCCTCATACTTCCTCATAACATTTACCAGGCTGCAGGACATCACCGAGACCTCTGATTCCCTTTGTTCTCAGCCCTTTCATGCTCTCTAACTCCATTTAGAGTTTCTCCCCACTTCTCAGCCAAGGTCACCAGCCTGGTCATGCTGTTCAATATTCTTCCTTCAGGCACAGTGTTTCAGGCTGCAGGGGCTCTCTGTTACCTGTGTGCCACAGACGACTGATTCACCCGGTTTGACTCCAAGCTCTTTTCCAACACGACGTAGCACAACGTCACCTGCAGTTGCCTCATCAGCTGCAGCCTAGAGCTGCTCTGTCCCATGGCTCAGCTTAGTTTTCCACGTTGCTGCTATATTCATTACATCAGTACCATCATTTAAAAGTCCTCCTGTTTTAATTTTTAGCCTCTACCCTGTTTAATTTTTGGACTTCCAGCTTAGAAACGCCAGCACATATCTGTTCCTCGCGTTGACTGATAAAGGTTTGGGGGTTTTATTCATGACTGCTCCTTGTTGTCTGCCTCATTAAATTAATTAATTGAGGAAATTAATCAGCTTCAGTCTTATCTTTTTCATGTTGTTATTATTTATTCCCCAATATGGATGTGATTGAGTACTGTACATGGTCAGGAAAGATCTTTGTGTAAATTAAGAGAGCTACAGGATGTTTGTTCAGTGACAGTCTTAAAAAAAAAATTAAAAAAAATGCTAGAGAGCAGATCTGTTACTCTCTTGTGCTATTTCTTAATTAACAGAACAGAGTTGGGCAAAATCAGTCCTGTCAAGAAGCAAACTAAGCAGGATAGCTTCTCAAATGCTCATGCTGAATCCTCAGAGGGCACCTGTAGTGGAAACCAACTAACAAAGCACAGACACACTGCCAAGGTGCCTGTGCTCCCAGCTGCAGGACCCGAGAAAACCCATGACTGCAATGTGGACGTGGGCAGGGGTCCTGCTTGTCCTGAGCAGGGGTCACAGGGCCTGCTCCACCAGAAAATCCCCCTGCAGCTGTGTCACGGGAAAACAAAAAGAACAAACTTCCAAGACACCGCGCTTGACACCAGAGACATCATCACAGCACACTTGCTATGCCGTCAGATCCCATCACCCCAGGGGAAGAAAATAAAAAAAACAAAACTATTATTTCCCATTACTGGACCAAACCTACAGATTTTAACAGATTATTTTCACTACGGCAGCAGGAAATAGTGTTGAGCACCATCTGTCGTGTCTCAGCCCGCTGCAAGCCGTGGTGAAAGCATGGCCATTACTCACCTCTTGTGTAACAGCAGCAGCAACAAGCCTCCCCCTGGCCAGAAACCCACGCTGATGGGGCATTGTACGGAATTATAATGCCAGCCCCACAGATTTTGCATACCATGGAGAAAGCAAACCTTTTCATGGGTCAGCCACACATATATAACCTGCTCTAAATTACCTAGCTCGCTAGCTAGCCTCCACCAAATGCGGCGTGGGATGCAAAGAGCCCTGAGAAACTCAGCAAACACTCAGAGCGGTTGGACCACGCGGGCACCGCTGTGGTTTTTCAGTGCTGGAGAAGCAAAGACAGCTCGTTGAGAGCTAGTCTAGGTGTGGTTGCATCGCACCCAGCTGACGTGTGGGGGGAACAGTCAGACTCCTTACCGTCACTGATAGGCACCAGCCTGGGGCACAGGGGAGCTGAGCATCTTATTCTTGCTTCTCTCTTATGCAAACTCTGTGGGTGAAGGGCTGCAGGTTTGGTGTGAGAGATTGCCAAAGGAGGGAGTCTTGTGTTGGTGGGACGGCCCTGTTTTGGCAGCAGAACAGAGTCTTGAGGGCCACAGTGCCCAAGTGAAGCCTTTTGCTTCAAAATGTGTAAATGAATATTAAAGGTGACACCCCTGAATATGATACTGAGCTTAATGAAGTACATGCTAAGCATATATGACTACAGTAATCAACTCTTTGCCCAAATCATGCTAAACATCACCCCAGGGAGGGAACACATAAGGTTACGATATAAAAGAGTGGTAGGAGATAGTAGAGAGAAAAAAAAAAAAAAAAGAAGAAGTTAGTGTTACGAAAAAAAAAAAAAAAAAGTCTGAATGAGGGAAAAAGAAGAGCTGGGGGTGGGGAGAAGAAGAAATTGTAAACCTCAAGGAGGCAGTGGATGGACTGTGCTCTTTCTCCTCCATCAAGGCAAGGATGCCTTCCTGGTAAGCTCTGCGCCTTCACCCTTTGGTGAGGAATCCCTCTCAAAAGAGACTTTACAAAATGTGAAATGGATTTGCATATATTTGGTGGGAACAATTCTGAGGAGAGGTAAGGGGAAAAATGCACGAAAGGGCATGACGTTATAAACCTGCCGAGATCAGATAAAGTTTACTGGCAAGTAAAATATTATGACTCAAAATATCCACTCAAAAATTCAAAATGTACCAACAGTACAGATTGCTACAGAGAGTAAAGAGCTGACCTTGCACCTTGATGCCTTTTCCTTCCCCTCCAGTGATGAAGCAATTCCTCCTCCAGGTTCAGACACGCGCATGAGCTCCTCAGCTTGTAAGATTACTTTAAAATCAGGCTGAGGAGGAAGATGTTTTAAAACAAAATAATTGAGATGAGTTCTTCTTCTACTCCAATCACGCCAGAAACCCTCCCCAGTAGGGTCTGCTCACAGAGCTCTTCTGGAGACCTTTTGCCCCCAGCAGAGTCATGGCTTTAGGTAGGGAGGGAAGGGATGGACCCTTCCGTCAGCACAGAAGGAATATGCTCAGGGACCCCTGGTGGATCAGGAGAAGCAGCACTTTCTCCAGGCTTTTGGGCTGTCCTCTATTCAGTGGTGAAACACCAACACCAGAGAGGGACTTCCCTGAGGTCCAGAGCTGGGGGGATTAATGTTAGGGAAGTATTTATCTTCACTTCCCTAACCATCATACTCCCAGGTGCCTTGTGCTGGCTGTCTTGGGAGGCTTCTTTGCATCTCCCTTATTATTGGCAGGATATCTTGGCCAGTCATGAGTACACCTTATTTGGAGTCTTCCAGTTACTATTTCTCATTAGTTTTTAATTTGAGAGAATCAGCTTACAGCCTCTTAAATGGCTTTACTTACCGCCTTGCTGGGTCTCATCTGATGCACTGATGGGTTGTGAAGACTTATTGATTTTTCTTTGCTATTTTGTTATATTATTCTCATACAATAGTAAAAAGATTAACTGCGATCAAGTGGCTAATGCAATTACCAGTGCTGGCAGAGGTAAGAGAAGGCAGGCTAGACCAAGGAAAGCCGTTCTGGAGCCACCAAAGGGGCTGGCTGAGGCACTGTTCCAGCTATTAACAGTTACTTCTGAGGCTCCATCAGTGATGGGTGGGAGAGAAGATTTTGTTAAATCTCCGAGTTTCATGTTATACCTGTTGTGGAGGGAGGGCAAATAAAAAGTTTCTCAACAGTTGTGTGAGGCAACACTGCTGATACCAAGGAACAAAGTAACTTCATATTCACCTTTTGCTTGGGGAGAGGAGGGCTACTGGGTTGTTTCTTTATCTCTGAAACACCAATATACCCATCTCCTGATACATAGGGAAGTCCTTTCCCATACAGCCCTTGCACAGAGCACAGAGTTAATCTGTAAATTAATTCACAATTTTAGGTTATTTTGTTGTTGTTGAAAGAGCCCCAAACTCCACATAGCTCTTGCTCCGTGCAGAACACAAAGGGAAAGGCAAGGGGACATCCCATTTGGGACAAAAGAAATAAATGTGGGCAATTAAAATAGACGTACTGACAAAGCCAGAATCAGGAAAGAGAAAGCAGAAGACACTTTTAGAGGGAGGCAAATAAATAAGTAAGCATGCTGCAATAATTAAACTATTTGACCAAATAATGTTGTTTTTCCCAGACTAATTAGTATTCTGCTCACCTCAAGGAGCAGACCAAAAAATCTCTGACGTCCCCTCCACTTCAGGCTCATTTTGGTTATTTATATCATCATATTTTCAAGAGTGCACCAATTACAGCAGTTCTGCCACAGCCTTCATATTCCAGTGAAGCCCTGGAGAAGAGAAGCCGGCCAAAAGGGAGCATGACAAATCCTGCATCTTTTGCTCTGTTCAGCCTTATTAGTGATGAGTGTATTTCATATCAGTACTTTTCAAAGATAAAGGATGTTTGGTCCAAGATGTGCAATGCAAAAGGGAAGAAAACCTGTCCACTTCATTTTGGCTCAGTCCCCATCCTCCGATTCTTGCTGCCCATAGCGAAGCCTACTTGAAGGCTGCCAAGCACAGCCGACAGTAAGCAACGCCAAAGCAGCTGCTCTAGAAATCTTGCCTCCCTGCTTCTTTTTTCAGTTCCTTGCATATTCCCCACTTTTATAGAGGCTGGGGCTCAGAGCAATGGCCAGCCACTGCACACTGGCTGTAGAAGCTCTGTCATTCAGATAAAACTGAAGGGAGCTCTGAGAAAGGTGGAAATTTCTTTCTGATCCCTATTCCTCCGAGAAAAAGCAGCAGAAACTGGTGAGGGGCAGTAACAGTTTCCAATAAGAAACATACTTTTTGCTTTTCCTAACTATTGCATGTTTAGAAGAGTGACTTTCATAACACAAAAGTATGTTGGGTATAGGTGGTGAAGGTTTTTTAACAGGGGATTTTGACTACTAACTGAGGCTAATGTACCACAAAAGGCAATGAGTTTTGCTGTAGGACCATTTTAGGTACCCCAATTTAGGGTACATTCACTCTTTTTTTTTTTTTTTTAGATGTATTCTAAAGGGTGGAACACATGCACATGAACACCTACAGCTAGTGAAAAGTTGCTTATCATGCCATGCATTGGAGGATAAATAAGATTGTAAAGGCAGTATCTTGACTATGAGGACTGTCTCTCTCCTACTTACAGTGACCAGAGCACCCCCAAAACCTGACTGTGAGCACCTCCATCAGGAGAGAGCTCTCCCAGGGAATGCCTAGTAGAATGGGAACCTGAGAAGATAACCATGAAGTATGCAGAAGCAGTTCCCCAGATATAATATTTCGCAACAGACTTTTTTTTTTTTTCCACTACATTTCAGCTCACTTTCAGCCCAGAAAATCACATCTTTCTTTCACCAAATAACTGTTGATTTGATAGAGCTTCTTATGCTCACTTCATTCAGCATTTTGTGTGCTATTCATTTTAGAATGACACTTTTCTGTTCTTGGCAGATGGAGAATCCTGTAGTCGAATACTTCTGGATGTTATCCCAGGACTTTTTTCTCCCTTTCTCGTTCCTCTTCTCTTCTACCTCTCCTCCAAACTGAAGCAGGCTTTGCATAGATTTGGAGGGTTTTTAATTTCACAGTGTGTTTGAAAAATAAGAGCGACTCAGGGGATACAAAGCATATGAAATGAAGTAACGTATTCAACTATAAAAATGTGAAAGCAGATGCTTTCTAATGCATCTACATTAATTTGGTTCAACAAATCACCAGTGCTTTCTGTATTCCAGCTATTTCCACAGACGCATTTCTGGAGATTCATTTTCACTGCAGTGACAATGGCTCTAACTTCCTCCTTTTGCATCAGGATCCAGCTTCTCACCTCTTGCAAAGGTACATATCTCTAATGGACTCAGTGAAAAAAGCCTAAATTATCACAGCTTAGCAGCTAGTCCAGCAGTTTATGGATCAGAGAAAATAGTATTTTCTTCAGCTATTCTCCCCACCCCATCCCTCCACTCCCATACATGCACACACCTTGTTTCTATAAATGTCCTTCTGGCAACTGTCTCCTGACCACATTTTTAGAGTGACGAAATATCTCACACATACATATTATTGAATATACCTTTACCCGCCTCAGATTTCCCAAGCCCATTTCCTCAGACATTCCTTTTGAATGTCTGTATTTCATGCACATTTTAAAATAAAAAAAAAACACACACACACAAAAAATTGAGAAAATATTTTCCCATCACCTCAATATACTTCACATAATGACCTTCTCACTCAGTTCACTGAGGTGAATATTCTCTTCAAATTTCCTAAAGAGTTATTAGGGACAATTTTTTTTTTTTTCTCCAGTTAGCTGACTCTGAAAATAACAGCTTTTGCTTTCACCTTTTGTTACAGAGAGAAGCCATGACAAATCAACACCTCTAGAAAAAAATAAAAGTAAGTAAGTGGGGAAGAGGGAAAGGATGTCCCAGAAGGACAAGGAGCCAAGAAAACACCTTTGATTTGAACATGTGAGATTTTTAGTGGTGTTACAGATGTTCAGGAGCTCTACTTTGAGTGTCCTCACTAAGGGACTGCAACATGCCATGCTTATTTGACCTTCTAATGAACACAAGCAATGCCCATCATCTACACTGGGCATCTTCCATGGCCAATCTTTCATCTGAGCAGCCTGATTGCCCAGTTGGTGCCCGTGCAGTGCCCTTCCAGTGTCTCAGTCTCTTCTCCATGCCCTGAATGTCATCTGTTTCTCCATCTCCCTGAGGAGGAGTCCCACAGGCTGGCCACAGGCATCAAACTGAGCCCCAGAAGCCTCCCAGATGTTACTTCAGTGGTGATCAATTATTTGCCCCTTGTAGTGGTTGACCAGATCTGACTGCAGGCTGGGTTTGGACCATCTGGCTTGCATGATATGATCATAATGCTGTCCTTAGCTATTAAAATCATACTGTGTAGATACCGAAAACAATCCTATCAGCTTACACAATACGCTCTGCAGGGGCTCTGTGATTGCCACCAGCAACCTTCTCCTCCTACATTCCAGACCCCCCAAAACACTAAAAATAAAAGGTTCTTAAAGTGAAATGAATGCTGTAACACCCTCTTGCAGGTAGGTACTCCCACACCTCTGTGCAGTTTCTCCCTTCAGAAGTATGCTTGCTCTGGAAGGAGGTTCCTAGCTGCCTCCACGAACCAAGGATAGCCAAGACCCCAGCCTTTGCTTTTGTTCTTTTCTTTGTTCCCTGGTTTCTTTTGGAAAGGCTGGCTTCCTTTCCTTTCCCCACATCTGGTCTGTCATGAACACATTGCCACAAAACCACAGAATGAACAGCAAAGAAAAGCTATTGCATATCACTGGGCCCTATCTGCCATGCTGGAGGTGCAGCAGGGGTAGAAGTAAGGACAGAAAGGAAAGAAAGAAAAGGCAGGAAATCAGAAGTTATCAATGATCATCACCTGAGGGAGCACAGGGAAATACAGAAAAGTGCCTGGCTCTTCAGAAGAGTATTTCTTAAGCACACTGCAGGATGAGCATGGCCTTCTCAAACAGAAACAGAGAAGGCTCTGGGGAGAGCTCATTGCAGCCTTTCAGTACTTAAAGGGGGCTTATAAAAAAGATGAAGAGTGACTTTTTACTTGGGCAGATAATCATAGGACAAGAGGGAACAGTTTTAAACTAAAAGAGTGTAGGTTTAGAATAGATATAAGGAAGAAACCCTTTACTCAGAGGGTGGTGGGGCGCTGGCACAGGCTGCCCAGAGAAGCTGTGGGTGCCCCATCCCTGGAGGTGCTCAAGGCCAGGCTGGATGGGGCTGTGGGCAGCCTGGGCTGGGGGGAGGTGTCCCTGCCCATGGCAGGGGGGTGGAACCAGGTGGGCTTTAAGGTCCCTTCCAACCCAAAACAGTCTGTGATTCTGTGACTCTAAATGCCTGCAAAAGTGGAGTAGATGTAGGGGCACTGGAAGGAAGACACTACAAGGGCAGCAATTACTAGCCATTGTGAGGAGACAAAAAAAAAAAAAAAAAAGTCACAAAAAGCTGTAGCTTTCCTCTCTATTTTTAAATGTCAAATTCAGTAGCCTATAATTTAAAAAGGAGCGTATGCTATGCCAGAAGGCCGTTGGACAGCAGTGCTTTCCAAATGCACTGCCCCTGGGCAATAAGAGGCAAGGGCAGCTTCAGTTGTTTCTGACTTACTGGCCACAAGAGTCATGGTAAGCAAGAGTTGTGGAGTCTCAGGAAACATATAGGTGGCATACGCTTATTATAACAAGACGTCATTGACCAAGGAAGCATATTCAGGAAGCCAGCCAAAAGCCGGCAGTCAGAGATATTGCGAATAAAAGGGGTGCATTATCCAGCTCCCTGCGCTCAACCGTGGCGTGCTGGCTCAGAACAGAAAGAATAATTCATTCATTTATAGAAAGCCATTGCGGGGTCCAAGACTGGGGAAAGGATGTGTAGAAAATAACTTGTGGCTATTTTAAACTTAATGGTTGGTTCCCCAGTTGATGAGCAGCACGCTGATGAGAATGACCTTATGCCTGCTGCCTTCTGCCCACCATGGGGCACAGCAGGGGTACCTCCGAGACCAAATAATTGTTTCCTTGAGCTCAGTGTTTCACGTCAAAAAGTGGCAACACTAAAATGACAATGTAACCCTCCTGCTTATTCCTGCCTTTTAAATCTCTCCAAGCATCTTCATCTGCAGCTACTCCATGGATTTTAATACTGGGAAGAGGTGTTGGAACAACTCTAGAGGATGACCTCCTTGATAAATCTGGTGAGCAGTACCTGTGCAGTCTTCCTTGCAGAGCAAGATCAATGAGCTTCCCCAAAGACAGATGAGAGCCAGCAGAGCTAATGAAGGTGGCTCACTCCCTCTGCTCACACACTTCTTGACTTCTTTCCTGAGATTAAAAAGGATTGCACAGCGACTCTGATAAATGTGGTTTTCATGCTGCCTTATTTGCTGACGGCAAAATGCAAGAAGCTCAGCTCCTGGAGCTTCAGTTCCAGTAAAGCAGGCCCTTGGTTTGCTTTTTGCTATCAGGGAAGTCCACTTTTCTAATTTTTATATTTCAGATGACAGTGTGGGAAATTTCTGGGAGCCATTTGAGATGTATATGGCTTCCACTTCACCTTGCTGTACATTCTAGTGATGGGAAAGGGTATCAGAAAATAACCCGTTCTCATACTTTGTAGAGTTTTCCCAGTTATGTGTATAAACATCCCAGTACCTGGGCATTGAGTATTGATCAGTTTTGACCAGCGCCCACTGGACCCAGCCAGTTATATGGGAACACCTCCACAGCTCTGCCTTTGCCTGCAGCTGT